GACCTGGCTGCAGAACCAACTGTGACTCCCAGGATCTGCTCGAGAGCATGTCAATCAGAATTTCTCAGAACAAGTCCAGGCACTCCCTGCTGGTTCTAACCTGCAGCCCATCTGAGAGCCACTGCGTTAGAGAGCACACAAGCATGGGCGCCTGAGCCCAGTCAGTTTAAGGCCACCAGGACACACCTAAAGTTCAACAAGGTCAGGTTTATTGATTCTGCAGTGAGGGAGACTGCATGCCAAAGGAACAGTGATGTCTCACTAAACAAAGGCAAAAACAGAGTTATTTTAGGACAGAGGAGTTGGGTGGAGTTGTGTTTGGATGGGCTGGAAAGAAAACAGAGCTGTGTAGGGATCAGCTTTAGGTCTGCACTGCGAAGCAGACCCAGGGCCCCGCATTCTTAGAGCATCACTGTTGAGATGGGTGTGCAATGTTGCATCCAGAAACCCTGTAGCAGAAGTTCTGCTGCCTGTGGCTTGTCAATCAAGACTGCTTTTCTGTGTCAAGGTGGCTTGGACAAGACAGGGATATTAAATTCTTACTGATGTGATTTCAAACAGCAAAGTTTCTCATAGCCTGTGATTTTGGAAAACAAAGTTTTTCAGTGTATAAAAGAAGCAGCAGTCACTCAAAGAAGGGGACCATTACAGCTGCAAGGGTGTTTGAGGGGGTGGGGTGGGAAATGCTGTATCCAGTTAACTGTGCACCTGGCTTCCTCTGTGCCTGTTATTCCAGTCTGAGAAATGGAAGGGCAGTTGTTTGAAGTCCAAGCTAACTTTTACCTTTTGAAAAATAACCACGGGTTTCTTCCAGAAGGAAGAAGAAACAGGAAAAGAGGGTCCTAGCATGTGAGCAAGTAGATGTTATTCGTGCATTTATTTAACAGAAACTTATTGGGTGCCTACTAATGTGCTAGGTCCTGGGTTGGGGTCCTGGAAATTTAGTAATGAACAGAAATCACTCTCTGCCATCAAGAAACTTACACATATACTGGTTAGAGAAAAACTCAGATAAGTAGGTGATTACAGCAGGATATATAAGTACTATAACTTGAAAATACAGTGCTATAACTTACTTAAGAATAGGTGCCATGGACAATTAACCCAGCCTTGGGTATTCAGGGAACTGGGAATACGTTGTGATAAAGCCACTTTATTAAGAAAGTAATTTATTGAGAAAGCAAAACATGCAAGTTTATTAAAGAAGCAAGGCAAGCAAATCTATAATCGGGCATAATGCACTGATGGGCTCCCAGCTAATCTGAAAAGCGAGTGGGTTTTTTTTCCTTATATACTTTTCTGTCTATAGATCTTTAAATTCCTCTGCCAAATGAATATCTTGGGAACAGATTAATTTTTCTTTCTTTTTTTTTTTCTTCCTTTTCTGGTGGTAAGCATTTTATTTATTCATTTTTAAAACGTTTTTATTGTTGAAAGTTTTACATGTGTCCCTCCCCACAACAACTGACCTCTTCTGTGCCCCTCCCCTCCCGCCATCCCCTGCCCCAGGCCTTCACCACCCTATTGTCTGTGTCCACAGGTTATGTATCTATGCATACAAGTTCTTTGGTTGATCTCTCCTCACCCACCCACCCTCCCTGGTCTGGAACAGCTCAGTCTTCAAGGTCCCTCTTGTACTTTGTTGTGGCTTGCCCAGGATGTGTGAGGAGCACCTGGCAATTTTATCTTGCCAAGCCCCAAGTCTGCTGGCTTTTCTGTTTAGAGGGTGGGATGAGATAAGACTGCACTCTTCCATCCCCTTCCTCCCTCTCTGCTGTCTTTGGGGAGAGAATTACCATTTGCTTTCAAGTGTCCTTGGTTGGGGAAGGTAAGGGCTTGCTATTTACAAGCTGGCTGCTGGCCGCCAAACCCTTTGGCCTTGTTTAATTCTCTTTTTGTTTGTTTGTTTATTTTGTTTCAGTTTCCCTGTTCCTCCTGCCTTGGAATTTCTGTAGCTTCTCGCTACCTGTAAGAAAATCACAGAAGCCCTGCGTGCTTGGCTAAGCTGTGGGGAACTAGGGAACCTGCCATAGCCACTATTTTGACCTAACCCAGTATTTTCCTTTTCCTCCGAACTATTGCTCTTCGAACCCCAAGGAGCCTGCTCTGACACTTAGACAAACTTCTCGTTCTGTACCACAGCCCTAAATTATAACTCAGAGGGGATCCTCATGGAGAATATGTCCTCATGGAGGAATCAGACAGCAGTTGACTTTTCTTGCAAACAGTGACAGCAGTTGGAGAATTTAAGGTAGGGCCCTCTTTTGCTTATAGTTTCTTTGGTTCTTAGTTTCCCTTAATGTATTTTCCCCCTCCCGCTCCCCTTTCCCCTTTATATTATGCTCTGCTTCAAACCAAAAGCTAATTAAAACAATGATTCTCAACACCTTCCCTTAAGGTCCATGAAACCCATTGCTTAAGTCCAGTTATAGCATTTCTGTGCTCTCCCACCCCAACCCCCTCATAACTAGAATGTATGGGAAGAATTTTGATTCTCACATTTACTCTGATGGAGGTGAGAGGCTCTGTCCACATGGTGAACACAAGCCAGGGATGCTGAGTGGCCTGCAATGCAGGCGCCAACTCAGGTTACGTGAAAAATATCCCATTCGAAATGCCAATAACACCTCCATTTAGAAACACTGAGTTAGGAAAATGGAACTTAACCCACAAAATTGAGCTGTTTTGAAAACTGGATTATGATGCCGTCAAAGTCTCCCTCACTTGTTAAGGTGCTTCTATTTCACTCTCAAATGCTTCAGAATATGCAATGTGATCGTGTGTATGTGTCCATTTAAGCTGCATTTTTTTTAGGAATAATCAGTTGTTTTTCATCATAAATGTACACTGCAGATCTGGTAAGCACTGGTGAAGGTAACTATGGTTTAACATCACACGTTTTGTTCATTAGAATAATATACGTTAGATCTATTTTATTTGTAAAATTTGGTGTTTAATAATTAGCAAAAGGGTGGTTGTAAAGGCTTTTCATAAATGAAATTCTTGTTATTCAAAATTCTTGTTATTATAGGTTGGCTCTCTATATAGTGAACACATTCTTACCCTCTGGTGTAAAACAGGCACCTCAGTAGCCAGGTCTTAGGCTTAATTGCTAAATGGTCCTATTTTACAGCCACTGTTTTGAAGGGCTTTTGATGTACCTGAATAGTCAAGTTGTGGCAAAGTAGCTCTAATTACTGGTGACTACTGTTATTTGCTGGAAAAAAACCAAACCCACAGTATTTATGCACCACCAATTTATGATTAAGTCAATTTTCAATATTGCCCGAACCTGTCAGTCCCTTAATCAAGTCTAAGAGAACATTTAACCAATTGAGCTGGGACAAATATCAAGGATGTCAACATCACACTCCCCTCCCACCGCCTCCCCCTCCCCTATCCCCATCCTTAAAATTTCTATCTATTTGCACCACTGATATGAATTAGAAATGTTGTTTTGCAAAATGAGAAGTAGAAATACAGAATGTTTAGGATATGGAAAAAATATATATATCCTTTTCCTTTCTTCTTTTTAATTTGGTGGCAGCCTGCATTTGAATCCTGGTTATGTCACTCATTCACTTGTGATTTTAGGCAAGGCACTCAATCTCTCCAATCTCCAGTTTCCTCTCATAGAATGAGGCAGTGTATCTACCTCACAGGAAGTTAGGAGAATTGAGTGAGTGAATCCCTGTAAAGAGCTAAACATTAAGAGCCTGGTTCATTACAGGCAATAACAGCCTGCTGATCTCCTTCATTCACTCTTCCTTCAAACAAAAACATATCCCGGGGACTGTCTCTTAACTTGTTTTGTTCTCCTAGCATAGAATAGATTGCCTGAACACAAATAGAATTTGTGTTCAACATATATCCATTGAATAAATGAATTTAATATCTTTTCATTGGAACTTAGCTGTTTTTTGATACCATAGCTCTCTGACATCCTGGGAATCTGTCCACATGTCTGCTATATTCTTCTTCTTTCTGATACTTTTTGAAATGTCAATGAAAAATACTCCACTCATTAGTAGAGGAGATGCTGTCAAAGATTTAAGTAAATATCTTTTTTCCTCAATAAAGCAATTGAAGACAATCCAGGCTTTCCTGGGATGTAGGATTTCATGTTATGTGCTTCAGGTTGATTCATTTTTAGATATATTTGAAAATGCTGTTTTGCTAAGAATCTTCATAACCTGATGGCTAGAATATAAAGTGGCAATCTGTCAATTTGTATCAAGAGCCTAAAATATGTTAACAGCAGGTAATCCCATTTCTAAAAGTTTATCCCAAAGAAATAATAATTCACATGCATATGTAGAAAAGTAGTCATTGTAGTGTTATTTTTATGAAAAGAAGGAAGTCACCTGAATCCTATATAATAAAAGTCTAATATGCTAAGTGTCCGACCATTTGTTTGACCGTTCCACCAGTCGCTATGACACACATTGACCACCAGGGGGCAGATGCTTTGACCAGTAGGTTAGCTTGCTGCTGGGGTCTGGCCTATCAGGACTGGGCAAGATGGGCTGGACATGTCCTGGAGCCCTCCCGTGGTCCTTCCCTGGCCCCGATCATGCACCGTTGAGGTCCCTTAGCTGTCACAATCTGCAGGCCAGGCCGAGGGTCCCCACCAGTGCACAAATCCAATCTTATACAATTAGAGGGGAAAGGTTAAGTTAATTCTGATAACCACTTACTATGCTCTCAGCTACATACTGAGGAGAAATAACTATATATAGTCACTAAAGGTAGGTACAGATGTTCATAAAAACACTGTTTATAATAGCTCCAAACAGAAATCTACTGAAATGCTATCTACAGTGGAATAGACATTTATTTGTAGTATATGCATATAATGGAATATTATATATTAATGAGAAGGAACAAACTATTGCCAAACAACATACAGTTGAATAAAAAAGCCAGAAATAAAAAAGTACTACATCATTACATTTTTCAAAACAGGTAATACTAAAATTAATATGGCAATGCTATGAAATGAGATTTTAAGCAGCTATTAAAACATTCAAAGACATTGGTTACTAATGTAATGTCCCTTTCATTTCATGCTGTGCAGGGAGCAAAGGGGCTGTAGGTTTTTCAAAGTTTCAGAGCTTACGCATCAGACATTAACAGGGATTATTAGTGATGAAGGGGCTTAGATAATTACTATTTTTTTTCTTTTAGTGTGTGGGTTGTTGTTGTTTTTAACTTTTTAAATAGGGCTCATGTAATAAGGTTTTTCTCAAACTGATTTATAAGCAGAGTTTTTTCCTAAGTAGGTGAATTCTTTCAGATCCTCTGCACTTCCCTCATCCCACTAGTAATAAAACATGAGGTTTTTCCTATTCCAGGCTACATTTTAGTAAAAGAAAGGTTTGTGGCAGTAAATGAATGAAGTGTTATTCTATTTTTAACTTATTTAGAACCTGTCTGTTTTCTGAAAGTGATTTGCTATCATCTATGTCAGATCTCCGCAGCCCAATTTATTTGGCATTGTTACCTATGGGCTCCACTGTATCGCGTAATGAAGATTAGCCCTTGGAATCCTGGATAACTATTTTCCTTTTATGTAGCTAGATAACAGTGTATTGTTGCCTATATTGCTATTGTTAAAACAATAAAAAGGGATTCTTTATATCATATCTTTCCTTTACACTTAGAAACTTCACCTATTAAAATGTGAACCGAGCAAACTCTACTGCAAATGCCATTAAGTTCGGCTGGACCCAAGACGGTCATGCTTGCACAACACATATCACTGACCTATGACTGAGCACTCAGACCTAGGGATCTTTTTATTGTCTGACTAGTGCTTTGCCCCTTGTCTCGGTAGCACATCTGTCAAATAGATTCACTTCAGACACCATTACCGGGAGCCCCTAGTAAAATGTTGACTGAAAACAATCTTACAACCAGCTCTGACCCAAAGGAAGAGCAACTGGCTTTACTCCGCCACCTCAAACCACTGCTGTGGATCGGTGAACACTTTATTTTCCCACTTGAACTTGAGATCTTCCGCAAGATCATTCCTGCCGATCTTGCGGAGATGGCGAGCCAGAAGGCGAAGCTTATCGGTGGAATTCGGGAGTGATTTCTTCCAGGAGCAGAGGAGTTCGTGGATCTGTTCTGTGAGGTCATCTGGGTTCTTCAGTTTGATGAGCTGAATGGTGCTGCGGCGAAGTGGGAGGGACGAGGAGAGACTGGAGGCGTCCTCTTCTGAGAGCTCCTCGGCCAACCAGTAGAGCAAGTTATCCCACAGGGCTTCTGCCAGGCACAGGGGAACAGTGTTAGGACTCTCTCTTGGGGCCTGTGCTCATCTCACCCTCCATCCCTGTTCACAGGAACCTAAGTGCTCTCTGGTTTGTCCCCTGAGCAGCAGAAAGATTTGGGAACCACCCAGTTGGACCATTGAGAGCCTTTGAATTTCTGGGGTCTTCTCCTACAGAGGGTTGAAAGTGCTTCTCAAATGTTAACTTTCCTAAGAGCCAAATGGGCTTGTGCAATAGTTTGTCACCCTGCCTCAGAGAGTCCTCTTAATTAGGACAAGGAGGGGACAAAACTTGGCATTTTTAACCAGCCCCCAACCCTACTATAAGTAGCATGTATGGTAAAGGATATTTTTTAGGTTCAAAAAATACTTTCCTTAATTAGTACTAAGCTGATGCCTAAATGTTAGGAGCACCTGGACAATTGTCACACACACACACACACACACACACACACACCACTACAGACACCCACAAACTCACCAAGATCCATTCATCACACATCAGTTCTGTGGAAGGTTCTCCATGCCAACATTTCCCCTGGCCTTCGGACTAGTATTCAGAACCACAAACATCTCCTTTGAATATATCCTGTGTGCTCAGCATGCGTCTTCCCTTACCCTGTGCCTCTCATCTACCACCTAACCTCACGATTCATTTTTCTGTTGTTATTTTCTTCATTGTGTAGCTCAGACCCATCACTCTCAGTAATACCCCCAACCTTACTCTCTCTCTCCTTCCATATCCAGCACTAGTCTGCCTCACAGTCACTTTCCCACTCATGGTCACGCCGCACCATTTTCCCTGGTCTTGTGCCACCTTTTACTCAAGTATTCCTTCCCATTGACCTGCTCACTCAAACACACCTGATTTTACACTATGAGTCATTCCACTTTTCTGTGAAGGCTACCGGGAAGTGGAGTCAACACATTCTTGCTCTCTATTGTCACTTTCAAACGAGCATTCTGCAGTATATGGATTTTGAATTCCATGCTACAGGCCTTTCTCTCCCTGTCCACATCATCTGTCTGTTGCCTTCAGCAGGCAGAATTATCAGCAACTGCCTTGGCCATCAGTACCATCACTGACCGCATAGTTCCTTAATCTTGTCCACATCAGTGATTTGTGTGTGACTCCATGTTGGATACTGACTCTCATGGCCAGTTCTCATGTTTCATCATCACCCAGAATTATTCCACCTCCTTGGCCTCAGCTTCTCCATGTTACTGCCCACCAGCACCTCCTAAGCTTCCACAGCCTCTGTTTCATTGCTCCTGCTTCATATTCTTCGTGCCCCCATCACTACTAATGTACCAATTCCTTTGATGCCCTTAGTCATTCGGTCAAACCTGCTGGGTGTCACATGCTGCTTCTAACAACCAGCTGTGTACATCAAGAAGGGTCTTGGATCTTCCTTAAACTATTCTGTCCTCTTTAGCTTTCATTGCTCTCAACTTGTCCATCCCCAATCCTGCTTGACTCACACTACATTTAACTATCAGGCCGTCCAGGGTTATGAACCTATGGTGAATGTGATCAAGAAAGTCTATGTTTTTTCCACTAAGCCCTTATTAGATTACAAATCCATTAAAAAATCTTTTTCCTGCGCTCCACTTAAAGTTTTCCAGAGCAATGACCCAAATCTCTTCTACTATCCTTAAGCCCCACACTCACATGCATTCTGTGTCACTCAGCCAATGTCTGTTTCTCCTACTTTACCCAAAGCCATTTGACCTAAGTTCTCATAACCATATTTTCATTTCACAATCATTTTCTTACAAAATCTAACTCCTGGTGTTTGCCATGTTCCATCCATCACAGTGTTTTTCATCATCATTTCCCTTCACACCTGTTCCTTAATCTCCTCCACACCACAGGTTCTTGCCATACTTCTTACAAACACTCTCAAGCCTCCTATTTCCCTGCTTCTGCTAATCTTTCAACCTACTGAGCTATCTCTTCCTTCCCTTCCCATAAAATCTTTTATGTTTGTTTTCAGAGCTAAAGGACAAGGATCTTTATTTTACCTTTTTTTTTAACTTTCAATTTTATTTTGTATTGGTTTCAGTTGTACAGCATAGTGGTTAGACAATAGCATAGTTTACAAAGTGTTCCCCCCGGATATTTCCAGTATGCACCTGGCACCATTTATAGTTATTGAAATATTATTGACTATATTCCCTATACTGTGGTTTCTCTTCAGATTGTATAAATGTTACACCTTTTACCATAAAATCTTTTAATGCCTAATGTAAACTTGATGCCTCGAGTTCATCTCTGCCGGCTCACTTCTTAAACCCTTGCTTTAGGGATTCTGGACCCTCTTTTAAAACTCTACTGAAGCCTTCCCAGTTTTCCCAGAGCCCTCCTAATTACTCCTTAAACAGCTGATTCTCAGTCTGTCTCGTCTGACTTCACAAGGCGTTTTACCGCTTCCCTTGAGTTCCCTCTTCTGCCACGTGGCTCTTACTGCGTTGCTGAGTCTCTTCCTCCTGATACAGCTGAATTAGTGCTTCCGATCTCAGGCCTCTTCTATTTCTATCCTCCCCCCTCAATGAACTCGTCAACTCCTATCGCCTCAGCCATCTACTCTTTGTGAAACCGCCCAGATCTACCAGATCTTCATCTGTGGCTTTGTTTTCCTAGATCCCGGTATAGCCTATGCAATGTTCATCTCCCAGTTATCTTTACCAGGATATGCCACCCTCTATTTCTCAAATCAAAATCAACTTTGGCCTTTCCTTCTTCCACCTGATCCTTCACTCTATCAACTTTTTCAGTAAATGTGACCACTCACTTGAGTAAGCTAAAACATGTTCTATTATTCTAATTTCTCAAAGCCTATTTCTTATCCCCTGTACCAAAGTTCAACTGGTTCTAACTCTACTGGTAAACATGTCTCAGCTATTTCCCCCAGTTTTTGGCCTTACTGACCCACCCTTGGTCATGACCTATCTCTCTTTTCTGGAGAATTGTAGGAACCTGGGTTCTAATTCATATCCCTGCTATCAGTTTTGCCTAACTTTAGTCTTCCATACAACTAATAAAGAGAAGTTTTCAGTCTAAGCAGATCTTATTTGTTCCTTGTTAATACATCTCTCATAAACTATTGTCTGAATGCCTTAACTAACTTAGCATGTAAAGCTTTTTATAGTTTGATCCTGCTCTAACCTCACCTCCCATCACCCTTCCTGCAGCAGCTCAGATAGTGTTGGTCCTGTAAGACCACAAAGTGTAGCAACCGAGGACTTCCTGGCGCGGGTAGGGAAGAGCAGGGTGCCCTGAGCCCTCTCGTGGTTGTGACAATGGCAGTGAGAGTTATTTGAACATTAGATTCTTCAAAAGTTAACAAACTTCCTGGGCTTTCATCTACTGCTGTTTTTCATTTGGTTTCGTTTGGTTTCTTGTTTGGCGGAGGTGTGTGTGGGGAGTAGGGGGTAGCTTTGGTGTTTTCTGCTTTGTTTTGCTGTGTCACCTGCTGTCTCTTTGGAAGCAGTTTTAGTGCCTCTGAGAGGACGTGTAGCACTAAGGTTTATTCCCAGCCTGCTTTCTTCTAGTGTAATTCAGTAAAGCCTGGACGTTTTCTGTACAAATCTATAAAGGTAATCCCTGAAGGGGAGGCTTTGCCATCAGTGGTGGGTTTAACACAGAAGTGAAACACACTGATGTGTTTTCTGGAGACCAATAAAGGATTAAAGTCATTATTAACATCACAGAATGAATTGTTTCAAAGGCTAAAATAGAATAAAACTGTCCAATTCTACCCTGCAAGCCCCATCATTGTTATGTAAGTGATTTATGCATAACCACAATAAAAAGCACAGGTTTCTGTTGTGGTTTCATACCAGTATACCTCCATTTAAACTCTATTGCCCTCAAATGTAGATTTGAGGTGACCAAACTTTAAGACTCACACACACAAGTCAGCATTTCAGAAAAAACTGCTCTGGTCTACTTACCAAACTAAGCAATTATGAGTTATCTTAGTAAAATATTGCTTAGTAGACTTTATATTTCTTATAGATTTTAATATAAATTTAACTATGCCTACATTTGAGTATGCTTTGAATTAAACATGCATGACTTACAAATGAAAACATTTATTAGGGTGATAATCTTAATGATTATTGAACTGCAAAGTTCTCTTCATTTTTATAAAAGGATTTGCATAAAATATCCTATATAATAAAAACCTAATATGAAAACTAACTGAACAGCAGAAGGACCAGTCGCTATGATGAGCACTGACCACCAGGAGGCAGATGCTCAATGCAGGAGCTGCCCCCAGCCTGCAGGCCCCGGGCCAGCCAAGGCGAGTATAAGTGGGTCCCGCATCACCCCGTTGGTCACCCCACAAAGGAAGGCGACCGGTGGCGGCAGCGGTAGGGGGCAGGGCTGGCAAGAAGGTGGTGCCAGGCCGGCCAAGGTGAGTGCCAGCAGGGGCCCCCCAATTGCCTTGCCAGTCACCCCACCGATTGGCCCTGATCGCCAGCCAGGCCTAGAGACCCTACCCTATATATTGGGAACAGTTTCTTAGATTTAAAAATTAAAACCTGGCAAGGCTACTCTAACTCTGAAAAAACAGGATGATGCAGCGATGACATGCATGGACTCTGGCTTGCACATTTTGTGGTCAGCCCTGGTTCTGACACTTATAACTGTGTGACAAAGCCAATTACTTAACTTCTCTCTGCTTCAATTTTCCACCCATAAGATGGGGAAAATAGTACTACTGCTTCAGGAGGATCATGTTACATACTACTTTTTACAATCAGGGCAAAAAACAATGTAGCTGTCCATACAACAGCAAGATGCCTTTCATCTGAATGAAAAGTATGGTCACTGGTGCATGCAGCGTCCCGGATTGCAAGAGGGATGTCCAACTGCTGGTTTAGGCCCATAAATTAGCAGTCAGACATCCACCGAGAGGTCCCGGATTGTGAGAGGGCATAGACCAGGCTTAGGGACCACCCCCCCCCCAATGCATTAATTTCGTGCACCGGGCCTCTAGTATAATATAAGAGAGAAAAAGCAGCTCTGTAGTGAGGGCACTCTTACCTAGAGGATCTGTAGAAATTCTTTTGGTACTCTGTGGCCGGTTGATTAATTTTTCATGCTATTGGGGGAAAGAGACATAGACTAAGTAGAAGAAATCATTAATTTGTGAACAAGTCACAAATAAAAATCCATCTGAACCTCACCCATATTTGAAAGCAGTATAGAACTGCATACCTTGCAAATTAGATTGTGTATTTGTGCATGCATGCTCAGCAATTGCTTTCCTACGATGAGGCAAAATATGTTAACCCAAATCTTTCACAAAATTTAAATCTGAGAATACACATTTAGCCCTGGCTGGTGTGACTTTATTGACTGGGCATTGTCTCAGGCACCTAAAGGTCAGGGTACATTCCTCGGTTGCAGGATCAATCCTTGGGAGGAGGTTGTGCAGGAGGCTGCTGCTGATGTTTCTCTCTCCCTCTCCATTCCTCTCTCTCCAAAACTCAATATAAAAATTTTAAAAAAGAACACAGATTTAACTATTGTTATAGCAGTTATCTGTGAGTAAGCATTTTTCCAAGTATAAAACTATTAAACCAGAAAGCTACCTCTGTGCTATAGACGTAGTATTTTGGAAAGGACTTCTTGGGGCAGGCACCTGTTGTGACACACAGCACAGGACCCGGCACCTAACGGCACTATAACAATAGTGTTAATGAATAAATGAGTGAATCAATGTGCATACAGAATGCTAAAAATAATCAAGTCTTTGAGCAGATATTATTCTAAAACCAATAGTTTATCAAGATGTAATAAAAAATATAATCATTACTTTTCTACGCTGTCTGTAGAACAGTTTGTTCTCATTGAATCTGAGGTCATTAGAAACAGCACAGGAAACAAAGTAAAAACATCTGGGTTTGGAAACCTGTTCTGTGCTCCGGACACTCTTATCTCCTCTATCTCAGCTCTGAAAAGTGATTTATATATTTTTTAAAAACACACATCACAAAATTCTGTACACAATGTTCATAGCAGCTCTACTTGTCGTAGCCAGAAAACTGAAAACAGCTAATATTTTCTGCAATGGGTGAGCAAAGTGTGACACATCTACATGGTGGGATACTTTTCAGCAATAAAAAGGACAAGTCACTGATACATGCAACAACTTGTATGGACCTCAGAGAACTCAGCTGAGTGAAAGGGTCACCTGTTCCCTGGTTGCATTTACATGACATTCTTGAAATTACAGGCTTATAAAGATTCAGGACAGATTAATGATTGCCAGGCATTAGGGATGGTGGGGGAATGACCGTTAGCAGAAGCACAAGGGAGATCTTTGTGGTGGATGGGAAAGTTCTCTATCTTGATTGCAGTGGTTCCACAAATCTCACATGTGATAACATGACATAGAAGTGTGCATGCACTTCAATGACAACTTGCTGTTTGATGTCATACTCTAGTCCCGTAAGATGTAACCACTGAGGACAACTGGGTGAGGACTATATGGGACCTTTCTGTACTATTTATTTTTTTTGCAAATTTCTGTGAATCTATAATTATTTCAAAATATTTTTTAAAAAACCTATTTTACAGCAATGATACAAGAAGGATGGAAATTCTCTATGCAAATAAGTAGAACACTGTCTAAATCATAATGAGCGCTCAATACAAGTTGATTAAATCTGAATATAATTTTGTAGAGATTCTTGTCATAGCCATTACATAAACTTTATATAAAGTTTTATGTATATAAAACTCCCATTAAGAAATTTTAATCGGCTCTAGCCAGTTTGGCTCAGTGGATAGAGCGTCAGCCTGTGGACTGAAGGGTCCTGGGTTCTATTCCCATCAAGGGCATATACTCGAGTTGCGTGCTCAATCCCCAGTGTGGGGCATGCAGGAGGCAGCTGATCAATGATTCTCATCATTGATGTTTCTATCGCTCTCTTCCTCTCTGAAATCAGTAAAAATATATTTTTTTAAAAGAAATTTTAATCAGAGGCAATTAAGAAACAACAAACAAACAACTTAAGTTCAAATATACTAATACTGTAGCACTGCAAAATACACAGAATTTTGAAGACATCATCTATGTGCTTAAAACTCTCAAAACAAGAAGAGAAATGCCAAATTAAATAGTGCAGCACATTCTACCATACCCATCAAAGGGCACGTGGACTTGATTAAATCCAGGACAAGAGATACATGTTGCATTTTTTCTTCTCTTCACATTAATAATTCTCCCCTCGGTCATTTTTTCTTCTTCAGAGATGTCTCCTAGCATCTTGATGCATCCAGAGTGATTCTAGTGTTTAAATATATGCATTTTCACACCCATGAAATGCAAGCCAAGCCCTTCATCTGGCACAGAACCATGGAGGCAGTGAAGTGTGGCGGAGCAGCACAGGACACCCTGGCTCTTTAAGGCGTCCGGGCCCTGTGCTAGCCTCACACATGACCTCTTCATCAGGGAAGTTCAATGACCCCTCCTCTTCCCCCTCCTGTTTTCTTGTATTGCTGGATTTTTATCTGTGCATTATTTTTGCCTTGCACAGTACTTTTGAAATCTCCCTGGTGCTCAGGGTCAGCTCCAAGCCAAACCAGGAAGCCTTTGCTTGTCCTATATAGTATCCCCTCCCACAGATTCCCAGCATCTACACGTGGTTCAGTGGTTGGCAAACTCATTAGTCATCAGAGCCAAATATCAACAGTACAACGATTGAAATTTCTTTTGAGGGCCAAATTTTTAAAACTTAAACTATATAGGTAGGTACATTGTCATTAACTTAATTAGGGTACTCCTAAGGGTTAGGAAGAGCCACACTCAAGGGGCCAAAGAGCCACATGTGGCTCGCGAGCTGCAGTTTGCCAACCACGGCCCTAGGTGTCTCCCTTGGTGGAACTGCCTCTCATTATTCCCTACTTTCCTCTCCCAACCAAAAGGTGTTATCCTGTTGTATCTTCTCAGGTTCCACATTTTGCTGAAAGGTTTGTTATTTCTCTGAGGTAACCTGCTTTTATGTTGACGCTCTCCAGAAGTTTACACATATTTTAAAGCACTAAGTGGTAATAATGACATAAAAGTCTCTCTTCAAATCTGGTGGCAATATCCCATTTTCAATGGTAACTGGGGTGCTCACTAATTCCAAGGACACCCACAGTGCTGTTGCCCTTGAGCAGATATAGAAACAATAGTGATAGGCCCCTTCCTTTTAATTTGCACTTGCCTACAAGTTCTTTGGTGTCTACTGCGGAACCAGAGTTTGTGTAGCAATGTGCTAAGGATTTTAAGACCCTGAAAGCTCCCTCTAACATGGATATCACAGAGCAGGACAGCTAACCTCAGTGCAATGCAACCAGCAACAAGGATAACAAAAAATGTCATGCCGATGTTATTATTTCTTATCATTTACCCTGAGGCCCTTACGCATGAAGAGAATTTCACAAGTAATTGTTACAGTATCATGTGGCAACCACTCCTCCACACAGCCTTAACCCTCACATTCCTCCCACCCCTGCACACTTATTGCAGATTTTTCTGGTAAATAGGTCATTTCTTTTGTCTATCATTTCTGGTAAATAGGTCATTTCTGTTGTGTATCATGTTTTAGACGATATACAAGTGAAAGTGATATGAATAATAAGAGATTGAGGAAGTATATATAATAATTATATTTCTGTGTATCTTTAGCATGGATTTTACCATAAGCCTTTTAGATGCCATGACTAAGTACCGGTTTTCACTGCTTATTGTGCTCTGTATTTATTTTGCATAGAGGCCTCTTCAACTAAGTAATAGCTGCTATTTGCTTAACTTAAGTTCATCTCTTGCTTCATAATAGTAAACATTTATATTCTCAGTCTTTATAATGTACAAATCCTATAGAATCCCCATTGCAAATAAGTTAGAATATTCATCAAAGAAGTAATCTGGTCAAAAGAGTGATGTTAGCATTAAAAGTTTGTGCTGCCAGCATGGGTTCAACTACAAATCAACTAAAAGCTTCCTTCAGAGTTGAGCGAGGACACACTGGTGTGAACTGGGCTAAACTTCTGGTTTCCAGTAAGGCATGTAAGAAGCGGGAAGCTGCTACTCTGTCCTAACAACAAGGAAAAAGCTGAACAAATGGAAAAAAAAAATCAACAACTCTCTTTATATCTGTAAGAGAAGTAAGGTCACAGGGCAAACCCCTGTCCCAGTTTGGAAAAGACTGACAGTTGATAAGGCGACTTTCCAAAGCAGAAACCCACAAGCACTGACCAGCAGAAACTAGCCCCCCCTCCCAAAGGAAACCTGAACTGTAATTGACAAGTTGCTGGAGGCTCAGTGTCCACACAAGACTGGGAGTTACAAACCCTAGGGGACCCCTCAAGGCTGCTCCCACACTTTCGTGAATGTCACCTCCAGGAGCTCAACCAGCTTCTCACAGCGACTATCTGAAAAAAATCCCCTTGTCCATCTGGCAGGGAGAGGGCAAAAGGAACCATTTTCAAATACACCATGGCATTCTGTTCTTCTTACCATAAAAAGGTCGGCTCTCAGAAGAAACAATTTAACCAAAGTCTCCCCTGCTGGGGGGGTTTCAGCACCTCACTAACCTGGGGGAAGGGAGATACTTAACTTCAGGGTCTAGATTTGCCAAACACCCTGAAGGGGCAAAGGATATGAGAAACAATGGCACAGAGTTAAGAGCGGCAAATGTGAAGGAAGCAGGAGTCTCACTTACTCAGGGAAGAAGAAATAGACGAGCATAAAAGAGGACTGACTTTGAAGTCTGGGTCCCAGTATACACAGCCTTTGCCTGGGTAAATCATGCAAGTTGAGGCAAGCCATCCAAACATTCTCACTAAACTCCAGATGGTGAGACAGAGATGACGGGCCCGACCTCTGAAGTATGCTGTGAGGGTGGATGGAAATACTGTCTGTAAAGGACACAACCCAGACTGACAGTTCAACAAATGGTTGCAGAGACATACAAGCCGAATGCAATGTGTGGGCATTTTTAGAACCCTAGAACCCTGTGGTGTGTTTTTTTACAAATTAACCATTAAAAAAAAGAGAAAAAAAGAGTAAGTCATGAATATAGCACATGCTGAATAGTAGATACTATC